TGTATTTTTTTTTTATCTTGCTATAACGGGGGATTATCTTGTAAATTCTTAATGAATATAAGTTGATTTAATAAACAACAATATAATTTTAATTGTACCATAAATATAACCGGGCTCCTGGCTCTAATAAAAGATTTGCCCCTGACTACTTTTTTTTTCTAACTTTAGTATTAATTACTTGATTTTAGACTTGCTTTTTTTATATTGTTATCTCATAAGAGATTCAAAGTTTAACACAAAATAACTTTATTTTTGTTATCAATATTTAGGTAAAAAATTTAAAACATAAAGTTATTAAAAATATTCCCTTCTCAATATATTTTTTTAAGATATATCATTTTAATTTTCTTTAAAATATCTAACTTGTTTTGAATTAATATTTATGATATATTTATTTTGATTTATATAAAATTATTTTGTTTTTTATAAAATTATCACAATATAATAACTTGATTTAATTTAATAAACATGTCAATATTTTTTTTAAATATCATCACGATTATTTTTTCTTCCAATCATATTCTTTAGCATTATTTTTTTTTCTATTTTTTTAATCAGCCTTTTCTTTCTCATCTAGGATTTTTTTTTACTTTTATTTTTTATGTTGAAAAAAAAAAGAGATCAGGGTTTTTAGCTACTGTGGAAGCACTCGCTCGCTCGCTCCATATAAAATCCCTCCGGAGTGATAAAAAATAGGTAAGGAGGAGTTGGAAGCAGAACAGACAAACAGCTATCAGCAGAGCTTCTCGTCTCTTCTCCTTTTATTTAGCGGTTTTTCTAAATTAGTGTAGTGGAAGTGAATCGATCAAGAAGCTACCCTAATTTTAAATCAATAGATCGTGATATTGAAAACGGCTCAATTTGATTCGATTCTCGAACCATCTTCTCTAGAGGTGCATTAATTAGGGTTTATTTTTTCCGTTACCATTTTTCTATTTATTGCTTGAATCTGTGTTTAATTTTAACCTACCCTAATTGTACTAGTATATGTGGATCCTATACCTCTTGTTTCGGTGAGTTGATAATTTATAGTCTTGTTTATGAGTAAAATTGAAATACAGCCCTAATTTAATGTTTTGTGTATTTGTTAGGCGAGGAATTGATTCTTTTTTTTTTTGCCAGGGGTGTTTGTTGGTGTCTCAATTTTCATGAGATTGGAGTAACATGGCAAGCTATACAGGTAAAGGAGCCCCTTCTAATGGGACAATCTATGTTAGTAATTTACCTGAAGGGACCGATGACTCTATGTTGGCTGAACATTTTGGCACTATTGGGTTGTTAAAGGTATGGGTTTTTTCCGGTACTATTTTATTTTTTATTCTTAGAATCTACTGCTACTGTTTGCTTTCATTTTCTGTTGAGGGCTTTGCTAGTTTTTTATGCTCTTATTTATTTTCATGCTCTGTTGTACTGAATAGAAAGACAAGCGAACTGGTCGGCCTAAGATATGGCTGTACCGTGACAAAATGACAAATGAGCCGAAGGGTGACGCTACAGTTACTTATGAGGATCCTCATGCTGCTCTAGCTGCTGTTGAGTGGTTCAACAACAAGGATTTTCATGGTAATACAATTGGGGTATTTATAGCACAGTCTAAGAGCAAAGATGACCAGGCGTTTAACCCTGTGGATGATCCAAATGATTCTGGCGTCCTTGAGGAAAATGCCAATGATTTGAATGAGGGTGGGGGAAGAGGTAGAGGACGGGGCGATGCTTCAGGGAAAGCATGGCAACAGGAGGGAGACTGGTTGTGTCCGAATACAAGGTCTGTGATGTGATATTGGTGAGCAGCTCTTTCTTGCTCTTTTTTTAGCTCTAGTCTGGATTTTTTGGGGTTTCTATGGTATCTAATATGCAAATAGCTCCTTATGCTTTATTGTTGTAGCAGTTGTTCCAATGTAAATTTTGCATTTCGTGGTGTGTGCAACCTCTGTGGAAGCGCTCGACCTTCTGGTCCATCTGGTGGTGCTGCTGGAGGTGGTGGTCGTGGGAGGGGCCGTGGTGCCAATGACTCTGGGGCCCATGGCCGGTCAGTTGGTGGCCCTACTGGACTCTTTGGCCCAAATGACTGGCCTTGTCCAATGTAAGCTTCTGCTTGCCAGTATATCATAATTTGTTTGCTTTCTTGTGCTATTCATTGATTCTTTAGTGCCATGCCTCTTGCTATTTAGTCTCTGATCGGTGATCAAACTTGGTTCATTTCCTCTGTATTTTGCTCTACCATTAAATGAAGTGATTGGTGATGGTCATGTTGCTGTATCTCATTATACAATCTAAAGCACTGACCAGCAGGAGAAGATTGTGAGGCTTAGTCTTAACTATGCAGAACGATAATGCTTCCTGTAATTTTATTTTTTTGAGGTGGATCCAAAAATTGACACTATGAGCATGAATACTAGCTGGATATGCAATGGACTGATTTATGATGCTTGATTTGATGAAGCTCGTTGAAGTGTAGCTCCCGTGTACCATACTATCTAACTAACAAGTGATGAGCTTAAGAAAAATGGGTTTATGCTGATGGCATGATTGTGTTTGAATGCTGAATTTTATGGAACATGTGTATGCGGGTGAACGCTCCAAAGTTCCTTGCTGTTCAGTCGAGGGTGCGTAGTTGATGCTACTGTAATTTACTGATTTTATAATAAGATTAGTTGGTAAATATTGTGCTTCAGACTTGTTAATTGTAAAATCATCAGTGGTACTATTATCTTGAAGATATGTGGGTATATTCTTTGTTGGCAGCCAGGTGACACCTTCTAATTCATATTGTAGGCTATATGCAGCCTCTTTTTCTCTGTGTTACTTATGTTTCTTTTTTGTTTTTCTATTGCAGGTGTGGCAATATCAACTGGGCAAAACGCATGAAGTGCAATATTTGCAACACCAATAAACCCGGTCACAATGAGGCTGGTGTGAGGTATTATATGACTCCTAGTTCATTGGCTGAATTCTCTCAACACATCATATGGACTGCGTGATGTAGAAAATTGTCAACTTTCTTTGTCAATCTAAAAATGGTGGTGGTAAAATTTTTTTCTCCTTTCATTATTTTTCCTTTTACAAGGGTTTCTTGGTTATGAACTGGGTATTGGAGGCATTCGATCTAGGCATCATGAGAAAAATACAAATACTAAGAAAGTATTCCTGAATGCTTGCATGCTTACTAAATGTGATAGATGGATTTAGGCTACTAAATGTGATAGATGGGTTTAAGATCAAAAAGATATCTTCGGCAGTCAAGGTATTATGATGCTGACTCATGATAAAAATGACTCTAAGTCGCAAGAAGATAATAGACAAAAACGATTAAAATCATGTTGTATTTGTTGAAGAGAAGATTGATTTTGATTTTAAGAATTACTCATAACTTCCATAAACAAAGTATTGCAGTGTTAGCAGCGAACTGCATACTCACAAGTTTTGTCTTCAGAGTCATAAATTATTTTAAAACTCAAATTTGGTTTACTGTACCTTAGTTGGATGGCTAAGCGATAGCTGAATCGTATTCGCTTCCCTACTTTATGTGAACTCCAGTTCTTACTGCTTCTCTTCTCTCTTTTGACCACACATGTTACATTGTCAAAATGATATGTTGGGTAAGCCTTGGATATCTTGTACAAACAATGCTAAAAATATGTTCATATCTATAATCACACAGAGGAGGACGAGGTGGTGGTTATAAAGAACTCGATGAAGAAGAATTAGAGGAAACTAAGCGACGACGAAAAGAAGCTGAAGAAGTGAGATCTTCTTGCGATGTTTTGACTTTCATATTATTCAACTGATTCTTATTATATAGTCTTTATGATCCAATAACAGGATGATGGAGAGTTGTATGATGAGTTTGGAAATTTGAAGAAAAAATTTCGGGCCAAAACTCAACAAGCTGAAGCTGGCAGGGTGCTTCCGGGTGCTGGGCGTGCAGGTTGGGAGGTTGAGGAATTAGGTATGTGAGCATCATGTTATCTTTTATTTTTTTTTATTTTTAAAATGTGTTAAAATAAAGCACTTTGATCTTATATGCTCGTCTATATTATTCATGGGCTGGAGTTCTATCCATTAGATTTGGATAGACACTGGAGCATTACAATTTTGCCTGGACTAAGTTATTGGTGCCACTAACAAAAAGATACATTGCCAGGTGCTGTTGATAAACACGGGAGAGAGAGGAGCAGAGAAAGAGGGAGGGATCATGATGATAGGGAAAGCAGCAAGACTCGAGAGCATGATGATAGGGACAGGCGCCTTAGTCGAAGTAGGGAGAGGGATCGAGGAAGGGATCGAGATCGAGATTATGAGTATAGCCGAGACAGAGAATATGGGCGGGACCGGGACCGGTACCGATACTGAAGATAGAAGCAAAGGTTATCAGCTTTTGTCCTCAGTTTGTTTTGGTTGTTTCTTTGATGTGAAGGATGCCATTAGATATGAAGCTTGCTTTTACTGACATTTGATATGAAGCTTGGTTTGCTTGGCATTTTTGTCCCTTCTCCTGCTATGTAACTTTGTTGAGTTATTCTCCCCGCTGCAACCATTGATGGAACTAGGAACTGGGTCATCCAAGCTCTTGGTGTTAAATATACTGGTTTGAAATTGTTTCTAATGTCATCCAAAGTCAAAATCTGACTGGTGTTCTTAAATGCTCCTTGGAAGTAATGGCAGAAAACTTCCGGTGGTGGCAAGATCATGAGCTCAACATCACTTGGTGTTATGGCATGCTAGTAACATTGATCGTATTTGGCCAATGGCTCATCGTGTACTGATTGCAGTGCTATATGATTGTTTTCTCCTTCATCTGAGTCCTCTAAGCTCCACATAAATTTGCAGTGCTTTAATCAGTAATGCCACATTATTTTTTGATGAGCGAAAAATTGCTTACTAGTGAGATTCTTAAATCAAATCGATTTGCTGTTATACTTGTATTTTCGCAACAATGAACTAGGATTATACGACTGATTTATAGCCCACATGGATTGCAAGATCAAGTTCAAGTGTGGTTCGCTAACCTTCACCTCTGGCATTGTTAATCTTTTGGTTTCAAAGTGACCCTGTCACCGTATCATTCTCAAACGAATTTACATCAAAATAAAGAAATACGAGGCTGTGCGAACGTGTCTGTATCTGTATCAGAGAAAGAAGAAGCCAGCAAATCTTCTCTCTCTCAGCATCTTCAAAGCCAGCAAAGATTTCCCCGCAACCATGCCTCTTGCCTCCGATAAACACACCGGATCCTCGTCCAATTTCATCCCAGCTCTTTTCTTCTATGGATTTTCGATTTTGGCTTCGTCGATTGTTCTCTCGCTCGTTCTGTCTATTTTTATAATGTTGGGGTTCGAAAGCTCTGATACGATTGATAATGTCTAGGACAAGGTGTAGGGATCCCACCGGATCAGCAAAGGCTTATCTGCGCCGGGAAACAGCTTGAAAGTGGTCCGTATCCAAAAGGAGTCCCAATCTTCACTTGGTCTTTCGCCTCCGAGGTGAAATGCAAATTTTTTACGAAGACACTACCAGGAAAAACCATCACTTTGGAGGTGGAACGCTATGATTTTACAAGTTAATATTTATTTATTATGTGAAATTATGTAAAAATAATAAAATTAGATTGAAATCATATAAAATTTGGTAAAAATATATTTTATTACTATACAATTTTACAATACTTTTAAATGTTCAATTCTTATTTTTTTTTCATTGCATATCCTTGTGTTTATTCACTAACACATAGCCTCACTATCATTTATACTCATGGATTCTTTCTTTGGTCAATAGTGTATGAATGAAAGAAATATAGTCTTGTTTAAACTTTTTTTTTTACCAAACAAATAAAAAATTATCTATTATGAAAAATAACTTTGAAAATTTTTATTTTATAAAAATATTCTTACGGACAAGAGTGACATATTATATTCTAAAGTTTAATTTGTTCGTAATATTTAAATACCATAGTTTTTTAAATGAGTTTATAACATTATAATTTCTAGATAAAAAATTTCTACCAAGTTCGATATTTGGAGTTTCAGGCTTTACAAATAACGAACGGGCGGGTCGAATAAATTTTGTAAAGTCAAAGTTGGGTTGGTTTAACTAGCAAAATTATTGGGGCTGGGCTTTGAATACTGGGTTTCTCGAAGCAACCCATGAGATTAGACGAGTTCAACTTTCAAGTTTCTCGGATCAACTTATAACTATAATCTCTAATCTCTAGGTTTAATTATACTTAATCCCAATTTGGCATTTGATATTTCGAAAATATTGGCGTCCCTTCATTCAAATAAATCTTATATTTTATTAATTTCGAGTTCCAAGAGAATACATGACATTTGTTTTATTGGTTCTGATTAAAAAAATTATTGAAAAATTTAAAAAATATTTCAAATTTTTTTTAAAAAAAACACAAATAATTTACTTAAAAAAAATGTTTCAACTGGTTCCAGTTTTATGAAAAAAGTATTAATTTATTAAAAGTTTTAAGAAATAACAAGGAATTCAAAGATAAATAGAGTTATTATTTTCTGGTGATTATTATTTCTTAAGAAATTGATCATTTTTATTTACTCATGCTGCTATTGTTTTCTTTTTTCTTTTTATTTACACTATCAAAAAAATAAACTTTACTTTAAAAAGTAAACAAGATAAAAAAAAATTGATTAAGGGATTTATGTCATTTTTTATATATTCCTTATGGCTATTTTAATGTTTGTTAGTTAATTTTTATTTTATTTTATTTTATTTCAAAAGACAAATAAATATCTTAATAAATAGATAGATTTTATGTAGAAAATAGAAAATAATAAATTTCATGAATAAAATAAAGTGAAAACCATGAATACCCAAATTGTATATTTACTACCATCAAATGTGTTTCATCATACCTTATCGTTCATCAAATATTATTAAGTCCACAGTGGACTCTTGACTTATTGGTGCACAACTTCAATTATAAAGGCTGTCAGGTCTTTATATATATATTGATGGTCGCATTAATCCTTGGCTTTTACATGTATTAAGTGATTTACAAGACCTTCATGATCACCATGATATTGGCTAATCGATAGGTGATAGCAAAACTAAGTAAAAAAACATTTATTTATTTTTCTAACCTTATAAAATAAAATGTTTTTATAGTGTGAATAAAAAATAAGACATCATAGAAAAATAAAAAGATTACCATTTTTTTTTGTAAGAGAGATAAATTAAATGAAAGATTAGATTTGAATTAACAGCATCTTAACATTCAAAGGTCAAGCCGTGAAATGTCCAAATTGGAACTCCATACTTTCTTCAAACTCCTAAAAATACGGCAACACATACGGGCTCTAGCACTCCGCTGCAGTATCTGATAACCTTTTTCTTTTTTCTTTTTTCTTTCTCTGTGTCTCTCAATATTTCTTTGCAATTTTTTTTAAAACTAATATAGATATTTAAGTTAGTTTATAGATACTTTAATTAATTTTATAGATTTTAAAATTAATAATTAAATAAATTTTTAATAATTCTTAAATGTACATAACTCAAACAGCAACTTTTAGGATTTTTTGCAACTTTTTGCTAGCTTTTCACACCTCCTTTTCTTTCTGGTCCATAATAATGTCTTCGCACAGAGAGGAGGGTGGGGATGCTGTTATTGACGCAATTTGAGAGCCCCTTTTGGCTTCAAGCAATTCTACAACACGCCTTATCCATAAATAGCTAGCTACAAGACATGGTTGTGTTGCTTCTTCTATATATATATCATTTTCTTTTCACATGAATTGTTATTATTATTAGGTCAGACGTCTCTGCCGGGCCCCTCTCTGCATGTCCCAAAAGCCTAAAAACTCCCGTGGGAGTACCAAGCCAGAGCCAAACACAGAAACCAACAGATTGCATATGTATGCGTGAGACAAGAGGGTAACAACACAATACAATAATGAAGAGCGATCTTGTTGACCTGCAGCCAACTACTCGTGTCTTCTAACTACGTTTAAACTTTAACGGACAAAGTTTCGTGTCTTCTCTTCCCTTCGGCGTACCAACATGGTGTTTCTTTTTTGCTTACAGAACCACCGTGCTTTTTTGTTAGCTAGCTTCATAAATTCCATGTTTTTTTTCCCGTCTTTCCCTCTAATTATTTTTAATGAAGAATCATCCGCTACTTGGAGCAAAAAGGAGTATAATTTCATTATTCTTGCAACAAGTTATGCTTCTATATATATATATATATTACCTCAATTCTATTTATGTTGAGTTTTTTCTGAGTAAATATTGGATTTTTTTTTTTTTTGTAATGGCGTGAAAATCACTTTCAACTGCTTGCATAAATAAACATCTTTCACCGTCACAATTCTATTCTCAACCACGTCACAGTGAAAACCAACAGTACTGTCAAATGGAGCTTAAATAACTGCAATATTTATCAACCGTGAAGCTCCTTGGGGGTATCACAAAATTATTCCATGAGATAATTGTATGCTATATATATATATATATATATATATATATATGCTGTGTCTTTCCTTGTTTACTGTAATCGCATATCCTTTAAGCACTTCTCACCGTCAGACAAACACAAGTGTCTTGGTTACATCCAATGCAAAGCAACAATGCCGCAGCTCTGTGATCTTGTAATTCATGTTAACGGTCAACAAATATTCTTTCTAAATCAGGTAATGCATACAAAATCTTGTTAAGTAACTGCTAGTTTCTTTTCTTCTTTGAAACTTTCTAGGCAAAATTTTCTGATTGTTCACAGTTCAATCTTGCAGAAGATTCTATCTGCCTATTCAGGAAAGCTAAAGAAGATCATCGGGAAAGAAAAGAGAAAATCCCAGATTAAGAATTTGAGTATTGGAATTGAGAACTTCCCTGGAGGCCCAGATGGGTTTGAGATGGTTTCAAGATTCTGTTACAATCATGGCAAGATCAAAATCACAGTTTCAAATGTGGCTCTTCTCCATTGCTGTGCAGTTTTTCTTGGCATGACTGAGAATTTATCCCCGGGAAATCTATTGAAACAGACAGAGACATTTCTTGATGGAATGATTCACTGGTCTTGGCATGATATAATTGTCAGTCTCAAAAGCTGTGAGTCATTCTTCACATATTCATATACATCTGGACTTGTAGAAAAGCTCATTTTTTCACTGTTGGAAAAGCTTGCACAGAATTCAGATATTGCAACTCTTATTGCTTCCTCTTCTTCCTCTTCGTCGTCTCCCGAAACTGCATCTAGGTTCAGGTTTTCTTCCTCAGCTAAAACCACTCCTGAGTCAACTAAGCCAGGTTCATTGAGCAAACAATGGTGGTTTGATGATTTGATCATATTACCTCCAATGATTATTGAAAAGATAATAGCAAATATGGGGGCTTGTGGAACTGATAACAATAGCTTTATCCTCACAAAGTTCCTACTCCACTACCTGAAAAATGCCGTACTTCGATGCAAAGGTGGAGCAAAAAGCTCTGTTTCGTATTCAAGAGCAGACTACGCTGGTCTTGCAGGCACAGCTGTCCATGGGGTGAGCAGAAATTCATTTTCTTGCAGAGGCCTGTTTTCAGTATTGAGGATAGTGTCTGGATTTGGTCTGAGCACAGATTGCAGAGCCAAGCTGGAGAGATTGATTGGTGGGATGCTTGACCAAGCAACATTGGATGACTTGCTGATCTCTGGGCATGATGATAGGGGTGTTTTTGATGTTAATCTGGTAATAAGATTGGTGAGAATATTTGTTAATAGTGATTTTCTGTCCTCACAGAAATTGAAGAAGGTTGGCAGATTGATTGATAAGTACTTGTGTGAAATATCTCCTGATCAAAACCTCGAGACCTCAAAACTTCTAGGAGTTGCAGAAAGCTTACCCGATTCTGCAAGAGATTGCTTTGATGGGGTCTACAGAGCCATTGATATCTACCTAGAGGTAAGAATTGAAAACTTTTTTTTCCTTTTTTGTCTCTCTTATCGAAGATGGCCAAATAATTGATGGTTCGGATAAAAAAGAGGGAAACAACAGACAAATTTAACAGCTGAGACAAAATCGCCCAATAATCTGTAATTATGGTCTTCATTAGTTTAATTTAATTAAAATCATGCTTTAATTTCTTGAGTTTCCTTCCCTTAGCTGATCATCTGGGGAGAAATACAGCATTTTACCCCTTCAATAACATCGAAAAACAAATCTATAACTTGTCATTTCAAGCCAGACTCAGGTAGTGTGTGTGTGTGTGTGTATTAATTTTATTTTTTTTGTAGAAACAAAGGCATCAGCACTGCTAGACTGGATGCAGTGAACCATTTATGCCATGAACAAAACATCTTACCTGCACGAAACCCAGTTTACTAGAAAAAACACAGCACAGACTCTGCTATTTCTGTGAAAGAATTTCTAACCATCGGCTAAATGTGTTCTTTTCCACAATAAAGGTGGTTTGTCACATAGGGACGGGCCGACCTTTGGCTGTCCAATCCAGCAGTAGTGGATGATAACTTAATTATTTATGGCCCGGCCAACCACGTATAAGTTTGTGCACGTTCTTCTTCTCAACTGTAAATCTTTTGTTTCTTTCCCTTTTCAAGTCCGTGTAAC